ACCAAATCAAATAACAAGAGCATTGAACTGCCCAAGTAATTAAAACCATCAAAATACCATAAATTGTGGGGGTAACTAATAAACTAGCCAGATGTTTGGACAAACAAAACATCCGAGTCAGATTTGGCACGATACATAAAATACAGAAATTTAATATCTGGTACAAAAGATCTATTACCGAAGCTATCAACAGAAGGTGTGTACAGGATTCACTACACCTGTGGTAAATGTTATGTTGGGCAAACAGGACGAATGATCAGTACGAGACTAAAAGAACATCAGAGAAATATTAAATTCTCCCAAATACAACTGTCAGCAGTAGCAGAACACGCGTGCCAACAAGGACACTCAATTTATCTTTATAATGTTGAAATTTTGTGCAAAACTAGCTACTACTGGCCAAGACTAATTAGAGAATCTATCGAAATTGAAATAAATAAAAATAACTTGAACCGTTCGGATAGCTACCGCCTTAGTGCTGCGTGGAAGCGAATCATCAAATAATACATTATTTAAATGTATGCCTACAAAGGGCAGCGTACGTCAATAGGGATTACCATTGGTAGGGCTATTTTAATAAACACAATAGACAGGAAGGACAATTTCAAAGGGCTCGCATAATGCACATGCATAATGTACGTTGCCTCAGTAAACCGCCCCCCACATTGTTCAAGAGTGCAGAAGGGGTGGTCAACACATCTACGCCTCCACATAAGGAACGAAACAGTAAGACTTCTCCACAAATCTGTCTGTCGCCTGCTGAAGCTAGTTGTAATTACTGGTGAAACGTCGTACTCAAAATTGTAAATGTTGTGGCTTGGCTCTCCAACATACCGGTGTGCTGTACTAGTGACGAATTGGCCACGTTCTGTTTACGTGACAACCCTTACTAGTTGGCTGTGTCGGGTGGTGGCGGGTTTTTAACGACACATTTATATATTTACGTGCTCTAACCCAAAAACCTCTACTATGGACTCTCTACATGACTTTACCGAAAGACCCAAAGAATATTCCTGGGTGATTATAGTAGGTATGAGGGTCACCCCCAGGCCCATGTTGTGTGGAGACAATGACCTGTGAACATAAGCTAAACAACAGTTTTTCTTGTTGATCATCACAACATCAGCATTCATTTTAAAGTGTACCCTATAACAATTCAGATAAGGACTTAAGTCAGCACGAAAGCCTTTGAAAGTGTTCTTTTTCTTAGCTCTTTCGGTAAAGTCATGTTGAAGGGAAACAATAAAATAATAATATATATATATAAAACAATAAAAATTATCACGACGTTTCGACCATAACACAAACGATCGACCATAACACAAACGGTCGACCGTTTGTGTTATGGTCGAAACGTCGTGATAATTTTTATTGTTTTATATATATTTTATTATTTGATTGTTTCCCTTCAACGTGACTTTACCGAAAGGGCTAAGAATATGAATTACTGCAGTCACGAAAGCTTTAAATCAAAATTTAAGTGTTCTTTTGTTTATGCAGTCATCTTATAGTGACACCTTCAATAAGAGCACAGGCAGGCAGCCATACATACAGCAGGGAAGCCAAGCCACGTGAATGTGCTTGTGACAAAAAAAAGCAATATTCAAAACAGCTGTGTTTATTATAAACTCCAATGTTTCAGAAGGCCGTGTATTTGAGACTTTGAAAAACCTAAAATTAATCAACCAAAGAGCCCTAGATTCACTCTAAATTAAAATCTGCCACTGTTGCAAACCTAACTGCGATTTGCCAAAAAGGCCTTTACGTTTAAATTTAATGTACCCCTTCATATTGCTTTCACAATGTGCTTATATCATGCGCCACACAATATATTCCCAGGATCAAAATTGCTAACATACTTAGCTCAATATATAGCCTGAAATTTGACATGGATTCCAGCTCAAGCAGAGACTTTACAACAACATTAGAAGCCGTGGTGATTTCCGAGGGCTCTCAAGTCCTATCTCATTTACAAAGCTTAAATGGACCTCTTTAGTTGATGAGCTAGGAATCTTGTTCATCTACAAGCTTCCAGTTGATGGCACCGCGGGTGGTGCTTGATGCCAGCCTTTGAGCTGCGTGTTGGAATTAGGTGGAGCCGGAGGGGGGAAACCAGCAAAGGAAAAAAAACTGGCACGTGCTACCTAATCTTGATTTGAAGCTTTCGTGACTGCAGGAATCCATACTATTTGGTTCTTTTGGTAAAGTCACGTAGGTATACCTAATCTAAAGAAAACTCTCGAATATTTTAAGTAGTTGTCTTTCTCTGGGGTAAAATGCTGCAGGTAATTACTTACAATCTATTATTTTCACAAGCCATCTGTCCTTCCGCAACATTACGAAAAGCAATGTCCTCTGGAGCCGAGCCCTTTTGGCGAGTGTCCCTGCTCAGCAAAGGGCCTCCTCGGACAATGCCGCGACGAAACGTCAGAGCACCCTCAGAATAAATTGCTTATTACAGAAAGCTTCTGTGCAATCAATTGTTTTGTATGACACTCTTTAATGAGTTTTCCAATTGCCAAAAATAACTCGATTTCATTTACTGTCACACAAAAAACTGGACTGGAGAGACAAAAACCCTTTACCTGCCCGCACGAAACAGGCAGTTGGCCTTTATTTGCATTGCTCTGACACGTTGGATTTGGGCCTCTCTACATCACAGGGGTTTTGTCATTTATAAACTTCACACATTTCCTCATCATGGGACCTCCTTTGCCAATACCAAAATATGAGAATAGGTATTCCCCTTTTTTCTGGCAACAAAACAGGTGTTGAGATGTTAAAACACCAAACTGCAACCTTTTTACAAGGAATCATGTCTGCATTAACCACAATACTTGTGGTCAAAATGCAAACAAAAAACACTCTGATAATATATGCATTGTCCTTGAAACTGATTGGTCCACACCAGAGACAGCTTTCTTTTGAGCCTTGTCTCAAACGGTGCTAGACCAGAGGACGCCAAAAGGTGTACAGCTCAAAGACAATGCTCTATCAAACTAATGAGAGCTCGGGGTGAGCATCTACATCATGGGACCTCCTTTGCCAGTACCAAAATATGAGAATAAGCTTTTCCCCTTTTATCTGGCAACAAAACAGGTGTTAAGTTGTTAAAAACCAAACTGAAATCTTTTACAAGGAATCATGTCTGCATTAACCACAATACTTGTGGTCAAAATGCAAACAAAAAACGTACTCTGATAATAAATGCATTGTCTTTGCCACACCAGAGACGGCTTTCTTTTGAGCCTCGTCTCAAACGGTGTTAGACCAGAGGATGCCAAAAGGCGTACAGCTAAAAGACAATGCCACTATCAGAGTAATGAGAGCTCGGGGTGAGCATCTACATCATGGGACCTCCTTTGCCAGTACCAAAATATAAGAATAGGTTTTTCCCCTTTTTTCTGGCAACAAAACTGAAACCTTTTTACAAGGAATCATGTCTGCTAGACCACAATACTTGTGGTCAGAATGCAAACAAACAAAAAAAACACACCGATAATCTATGCATTGTCCATCGTACCTGCCGGTTTACTAGGACATTTTTTTCTGTTCCCCCCCCCGCCCGTATCCCACACTCAGCTTCCCACTTCTAGCCCCGCCCACTTCCTCCCCCCAGCCTCACGTCCTCTTCCCCGAGTGCTCACACGGCCCCCCCTCCTCCCTACCTCCCCCCCTCTCTCTCCCCCCTTGCTCCTCCCCCTTTTCTTACCTATATAACCTCTTGCCACGGCAGCTCTCTCGCCTACCTCAGCATTTTCTTGCTGTGGGTGTTCCACCTGATGATGACCGCTTGTGTTGCGATCGGAACGTCGTGATTTGTTTTATTTCTACCTACGTGACTTTACCGAAAAAACCAAAGAGTATGGATTCCTGCAGTCACGAAAGCTTCAAATCAAGATTGAACCTATTCTCATATTTTGGTACTGGAAAAGGAGGTCCCATGAAGTATATGGGTATTAACCAACTCCGTAACTTTAAGAGACTATTCGTTTAGATAAAACGTACTCTCTACATGTAACATGCACTGCTGAGGAGGCATTATATAAGCAATCCCTTTCACCGTGTGGAATCTCTCCCACCAATCTATTGAAGAAATGTGAAGTTTCAAGTTTATTTTCTTTAACCAGGTGAGAACTCAAGAGACCAGGGTCGTCTCAGTTTCTAGAGTGACCTGGGTCTCCAATATCACAAAAAGCAAAAAAATATGGCAATGAAGCACGCAAAAAATAAGAGGCAAAGAACAACCCCATTCATTTAAAAAAGTAACTGTAAAAACACTGCTACCTCCAGATAATTTTTTTTTTCAAATTAGTCGAGTGGCTTGAGTACACTAAACAGTGCCCTGCCAAGTATAACAAGAACATAGCTCAGGGTAGTCATCACAAAAATGCACTTCGGAGTGAAACCCATATTTTTCTATGGATCCACTGACAGCATTGGCAGCTATGCAGGGATTGTGAAGCAACAGTTATTTTAAGATGGAAACTGAAGCATTTGTATCTTAATGATAAAAATGTGTTTTACAAGTTTATGCTCTAATATATTGATAATTTGGGTAATGTAATTTGCTTAGAAAAAACTGATTACATTTAATATTGCGTTTTCCTCCAAACCTGGAATATTTGTATTTGTAACGGTATTTCTCAACCTGTTTTCTGTACCCTTCGTAAATTCATGCCAGGTCGTCCTTTAAAAAATAAAATTGAGGCCTCATCTTGAACACGTAGCTTCAAACAGCTCTCACATGGTTAAATAAAGGCATCTACCATACTTCTTTGCTTCAGGCACGTGTGGAAGAGCAGACCAAAATACCCTGCTGAGGGGCTCTTTAAAGCTCAATCTCATGGAGGCCCATCTGCCGGCATTGGCGTGAGTAAGTAAATCCACGGCTGCACCATCGTTACGTTTTTACGTTCGTGACCAATGATGAGGGTAACAGGGCATCAACACATGCTTGAGTACACCACAGCCACAGCAGACTGGAAGTGACATCTTACCTTGGCCATCTGTGCTTGTACACCATTGGCCTTGAGGGCCGACACTGCCTTCTGGGCTGCGGCTGGGCTGTCGAAATCCACAAAGCCGTACCCTGTGGTGACATGGTGACAACATTGGGAACAAAGTCGAATCCGCAACATTATTAAAAAATCACAACCTGCTTTGTGCAAACAGCACCGAGTGTGCATATACATATGCTTGTGCATTGCTCAGACAAAGAGGAAGTCACCAAGTAGTGCAATACAGCCAGGGCACGGACACCAAGCTCAGCAGGGTAGGTCACAGTGACCCAATCATGGCTTGCGCTTTCATGCGCATCGCATCAAAGCCATATACAGACGCGTCCATATTTGCTAACACATCCGCAGTGTGTCATATCAAAAGACTCGATCACTCTATTCATATATTAACTTTGTTCAAACGTTGTTGGAGTTATATTTCATCCCCACCACCCCCCCCCCCCCCAATGTTCAGCAAACTGTCATGGAGTTGGTGCCCCGCGCATGTACAAGCAAGAATTACGCCAGAAAAAAAACCTTCAGATTTTTCAAAAGGGCTTGTGGAATGTTTTCGAAGGACAGTGACACACACACACGTTATACATTTTACTCCTGGCAAGAACGACGAGTTCCAAACAAATTTGTATCTATCCATGAAGTAACAGCCACTTTCTACGAAACAAAAAAGTTGTTCCTAAAGCTGACATTCATAGAACATGAAAAAAACCACTGCAAAATATATCGCATGACTAGTCAGGCAGGTGGTTTTAATTGGTTAACGACTTTCCAACAGAATTTTCTTTTATTCCTGTGTAAACATGAATATTAGCTGAACTGCACAGTTAAAAGCACGGTAACTGTCTTTGCTTTAATCTTCCTTCATGAGCATCTCCCCACATTAGAGTCAAAGAGCCTGGATCGCCTTGCCACACTGACAATCAAATCTGATCAAATTGAAATGGTACTGTTCTGTGCATTTACACAATTACCAGCAATTTCCGAAAGCATCATTAGCTCCGTAATGGTCTTCAACACCAATGGCCTCTTGATCGAAGACACTCATTTGCCGGAGGAGAGAAGGCCAATCATGCTGGGCCAGACATCCACCTGATAGCGTGGCTGGCCTGCCTCGGGGTACTTAAAGGCATGGGGTTGGCAATTATTGTAAGATGTGGGCCTGGACAATGATGAATATGTGAAATATTTCTGAATAAAAGACTTGATGAGGTTTAGCATTGAGCCTTAGATTTCTTCATCTATGGGTATGACGATGGAATAATTATTGTCATGATTGTATTACATTACACACACACAAGCAGGGAAACAAATATGCAAAGCAATACAGTATATGAAGTGTATTTTAGTTTTATGTTTTAATCGCTTAATTGGATAACTGAATCAAGACTCTGAACTTCATTAGCCGTTCTTAAAATGCCAAACCAGCTGACGTTTAACTGCATTACGTGCGTAGCCAAGATCATGTATCTTGTACTTCTATACGGAAGGTATTGGGTATAAGACGGTGCACTTGAAAAACAACGATCATAAGCACAGCATACAAATGCAGTGTGACTTATTATTTAACGTGACCTAAATGAACACTTAAACGATTTTAAAGCATGACGTTGGAAAGGTCAGAAGACAGAGAAATCTGTCCAAGATGTGAGTGGCTGGCCATGTGCACACAACTCAGGGGTTATGGTTACAATCACCATAATTTACCACTATGCCCTTTCAGTTTATGACTTGTGTCTTTGAACAACGTAACATACACTCATGTTTCTATATATTGGGGTTTAGAGTGTGTGTTTGTGGGGGGGGGGGGGGGTTCCATAGCCCCAATGACCACTTTTCTTTGCATATATGGGCTTTCCTTTCACAAGAGCGATCACATCAGCATATTCGCAGAATGTTTGGTTGCAGTCAGAACCAATTCAGCGAAACTTGAAATTTCTCTGAAAGCACTTAACTTTTCAGGGGTAGTGATAAAAGATTGAATAAATCCCTGTTTGAGGGATTATTTTTGCATTTCAATGTTTTCCATTTCACATATCCCAAGTGTGCCTTTGAGATACAATTATTTATAATTTCATTAATTTGTTAAAGTGTGGAACTGAAGGCTCAATTTTGGAATACTACATTTTTTTAATAAAACATCGTGTTTATTAATCATCTTCCACCATCAGGCATGATGAAACCACCGTTAGATGAATGCTTCCACAAGCCGTTGCCATCTCTCATGGTCCTGCAATGAAACATTTGATCAAGCACCTGCACATTAGCTAATTTCATTGCTCGTATTCCCTCCTTGGGTGGGCTGCCTCTCCATCTTTAGTCCACCGACCATCATCCTCTACAGCGGCATGGCCTGCCCAATGACACTTAATTGTATCAGCACTCAACAAGATGTCTCTTAACATCCGTATGCTCTCCAATTCATGCATGTCTCTTTCTGTCTCTCAGCAAAATTCTAAGTGTGCACTTCTCCATTGCTTTCCCATGTGCATGTTACACAGTGGAAAGTGCACATTTTGGGTATAAATTCCACTGTTTCAGAGTTACAAACTAACAACTGCCGCTCATCCCTTGGCTCAGGGAGGGGCTTAAAAACAATGAGGTTGCGTGACATGACGATAATACAGTTGTGTAAAGAAAATGATTGACTGGATAAATGAGTACTAAAAGAGAACATTTTCAGGAAGCATGTAATACCCTCTCCCCCACAAGTACCTCATCGGAAACAATGTTGTGGGAAAAAAAACAGTTGTGATGTGGTTTTGATGCTAACTGAAACTGTGGGTTCCCAAATCTTTAAGTAATGCATGTTGTGCACAAAAGCAGTGCAGCTTCGTGACATATTGGAAAAGGTGCCTGACAGCCTCTGTCAACGTTTTAAAGCTGATACACTTTTTTTAAAGCCTGTCTTCCTATCTGTAAATGTAGTGGAAGTTACAGTGCATCTTGAATTAGCCCAGAGCCGATGTTAGCATCTCTTGTAAAGTGAAAATACTGCTCAGCTTCACAACCAGTTGCATACGAAGAGTGAATGTTTCTGTTATTATATTTTTGTCGATGTTTTATTTAATTTGCCTTCATATTGCAGGAGCAAATACGAATGCTGAGCAGTTGAAATGTCTCGCAATCTGATTGCTCGCCACTGCGTCAACTTTTATGGGGTTGACATTTGTATTTCAGCAGCCGCCCGGTAACTTTGATAATAACGGTTTATTTAACACTGACTTAAGCGGCGTATAAAATACTGCGCTGAACTGCATCAATGGGGAGTGGGGGGGAAAGTAGCAAATCACGATTTAAAGAGAGAACGCTGCAGGTGAATAAATAAATACTGAACAAAAACAGCACAGCCGGATAAAATTAACCTGACGTCTACTTATTAAATCAATGACTTTAAAACCAAATAATTATCGTTGCTAAAAAAAAATTGGAATGTAACTGATTACAGTGAAATTGTAAAAATGTATTTATTCACTAGGTGATGCAGAATTATTCGTTTAAAGTAGACGATAAAAGACCCTGTCACATCGTCAATTGTAAGTTGGAGTCATTGGCGTGCTGGTTTTCTCATGATTTGTCTCAATTCTGAACGTTGCAGTGGCTGATTGTGTGTAGAACGACTCGTCCCCATGACTGATCCAACCATACAGATATGGAATTGTCATCACCGCCTCGGGTCTAACCATGTAGATGAGCACTGCCCATTCTCAACTGATCAGGCAAACAATTATTTTTTGTTTTAAATGTAAAATATTAATAACCACAAACTTGATTTGAAGCTTTCATGGCTGCAGGAATATCTCTTTGGTTCTTTCGGTGAAGTCACGTAGAAAGAAAATAAATTAAATAATAGAATACGACGTTTCGATTGCAACACAAGCAATCGTCATCAGGTAGAACGAAATTTGAGAGAGAGAGACAAAACACAGACACGGAGACACACAGACAGACATACAAGCAGAGAGAGACAACACAAAGACACACAGAGAGAGACACAACATAGACATACAGAGACCCAATGCCTCTGTGTCGAGGCCTTAAATAGAGAGAGGGGGGGGGACAGAGAGAAAGGTGGGTCTGCTGGAGCAGAGAAATGAGCATGTCAATGAAAGACCCAACAAGACTTGTACATTTTAGAGAGAGCTGTGTGGAAATCCACCCCGAAGCGACCGAGGGAGAGAAAGTTGGAATGGCCTGATGAGAGCCTGGTAAATTTTAGAGAGAGAAATAGGCAGTTTGAGAAAACAAAATTTCGCAAATTATTTGGAAATGTAATGCAATGCAACACAGACAGTCGGCTAAATTTTGTATAACAACCCCTAAGAAAACAATATTATCGGGCATTCCTTGCAAAATTATCTCAATAAGTACCATAATAAAATGGTAAAGTAAAGGTCGATTGTAAAGAATGACCTGCATTTAGACTATTTAACAATTTTACATACGTTCCATGAATATGAGGCGGAAAGGGTGGTAAGGTGGTTGGCACGCTAAGCTACGGATCTGGTGACCTGTGTTCAATTCCTGGCCAGGGCGAGCATCAGTGGAAAGTGACATCATAACTTGTGACATCAGAACCCACACTGAACATCATGGTGAAGTACTGTAAAAAAAAACCTCCCCATTCATGGATTGAGAATGTCAGGAATTGATTTAATATGTACACAATAATGTGTGGGAATACCCTGTGTACACTTTGTGTGTGTATTGACATATATAAAGTTACAACCAACAATGAGATTAACCTTCTTCTTTGGTTCTTCGGTAAAGTCACGTAGAATGAGAATAAAAGAATAAAATAAAACAATAAAATTCTCACGAAGTTTCGGCCACAACACAAGTGGCCTTCTTCAGGTGAAAGGAACAAACCTGTCGGGACGACAGAGCTACAATGAACGCTGCTAAGATTCGCAGCATCTTTTAAGCTGGTTGAGAGAAGTGAGGCACCTTGACAAAGGGGTTTACGTATCAAACAGGAGAATTTAGCATTGAAACAGTTGAGGGATTAGCTTGTGACTGGTCACAGAAATAGCTATGTTAAGGTCAAAGCCTACACATCCACAGAGGCACCTCGTAC